GTGTGTTTGGTTGTGAATCCTATCGTACTGCTTGGGTCGGTTGGAGTGGCAGGTGGAGGCAGTGAGGAATTTACAGGAGCTAGGGAGTGTGAAGGATGGCAGTTGCAGGAAGGGAGATAAATCAAAGATACAGCCAGGTAGATGGGTTACCTCCAGGAAGGGTAGGGGAATGAGGCAAGTAGTGCATGAGTCTCCTATGGCTATCCCCATCTCAAACAAGTATGCTGCTTTGGAAAATGTAGGGGGTGATGGACTCTCAGGGGAATGTAACACTGACAGCCAGGTTTCTGGTACTGAGACTGGCTCTAATGTAATGAGGGGTACGCCGGGTTCCAAGCGATAGATTGTGATAGGTGACTTTCTGGTTAGAGGCACAGACAGACGAGTCTGCAGCTGACAGCGAGACATCAGAATGGTGTGTTGCCTCCCTGGAGCCAGGATTAAAGATATCTCAGAGAGGGTGCAGAATATTCTCAAAGGCAAGAGGGACCAGCGGGTGGTCATCGTACGCAATGGAACTAACAACATAGGAAGTGAAAAGTGAAACTCTGAGGAGAGAATATAGGAAGTTAGGCAGGAATTTAAAAAGTAGGTCCTTGAAAGTAGTAATATCTGGATCACTCCCGGTGCCACAAGCTAGTGAAGGTAGGATTAGGAGGATAGAGCAAATGAATGCTTGGGCTGAGGAGCTGGTGCAGGAGAGAAGGATTCACATTTTTGGATCATTGGAATGTCTGCTGGGGTAGAAGTGAACTGTATAAGAAGAACGGATTGCACCCGAATTGGAAGGGGACTGATATACTGGCAGGAAGATCTGCTGAGCTGATCAGGAGGATTTAAACTAGTAAAGGGTAGGTGGTGGGACCCAGAGAGACAGCAAGGAAAGAGATCAGTCTGAGACTGGTACAGTTGGGAAAAAGAGTAAGTCAAACAGTCAGGGCAGGCTGGAAGAAAGTAGAGAACGAGGTAGGACTGATGAATTAAACTATATTTATTTCAATGCAAGAGGCCTAACAGGTAAGGCACATGGACTCAGGGCATAGTTAGGAACATGGGACTTGGATATCATTAGCAATTAGAGATGTGGCTCGGGGGTAGACAGGACTGGCAGCTTAATGTTCCAGCGTATAGGTGCTACAGGAAGGATCAAAAGGGGTGGGGGGGAGCAAAAAAGGAGGAGGAGAAGTGGCGTTTTTGAATAGGGATAACATTACAGCTGTATTTAGGGAGGATAGGAGGATATTACTGGGAATAGTCCAGGGAAGTTATTTGGGTAGAACTGAGAAATAAGAGAGGCAAGGTCACCTGATTGGGATTGTACTCGAGACACCCCTGCCAATAGTCAGTGGGAAATTTTGAGGAACAAATTTGTAAGGAGATCTCAGTTATCTGTGAGAATAATAGGGTGATTATGGTAGGGATTTTGACTTTCCAACCATAGACTGGGATTGTCATAGTGTTAAGGGCTTGGATGGAGAAGAATTTGTTAAGTGTGTACAAGAAAGTCTTCTGATTCAGTATGTGGATGTACCTACTAGAGAAGGTGAAAAACTTGACCTACTCTTGGGAAGTAAGGCAGGGCAGGTGACTGAGGTGTCAGTAGGAGAGCACTTTGGGCCAGTGACCATAAGAAGGACCATCTGGATAGACCAGATCTAAAAGATAAAGTTCTAAATTGGAGAAAGGCTAATTTTGACAGTATTAGGCAAGAACTTTCAAAAGTTGATTGGGGGCAGATGTACACAGGTAAAGGGACAGCTGGAAAATGGGAAGCCTTCAAAAATGAGATACCGAGAGTCCAGAGACAGTATGTTTCTGTTGGGGTGAAGGGCAAGGCTGGTAGGTGTAGGGAATGCTCGGTGACTAGAGAAATTGAGGTTTTGTTCGAGAATAAGAAGGAAGCATATGTCAGGTATAGACAGCAGAGATACAGTCATTCCCCAGAAGAATATAAAAGCAGTAGGAGTATACTTGAGGGAAATCAGAAGGGCAAAATGGGGACATGAGACATCTTTGGCAAATACGGTTATGGAGAATCCAAAGAGATTCTACAAATACATTAAGGACAAAAGGGCAACAACGGAGAGAATAGGGTCCCTTAAAGATCAGCAAGCCCTCATACGTGTGGAACCATAGAAGATGCGGGAGATACTAAATGAGTATTTTGCGTCAGTTTTTACTGTGGAGAAGGATATGGAAGATAGAGAACTTGGGGAAATAAATAGTGACATCTTGGAAAAATGTCCACATTACGGAGGAGGAGATGCTGGCCGCCTTAAAACACAAAGGTGCATAAATCTCTGGGGCATGATCAGGTGTACGCAAGAACTCTGTGGGAAGCAAGGGAAGAGATTACTGAGCTCCTTGCTGAGATATTTCTATCATTGATAGTCATGAGCGAGGTGCCGGAAGACTGGGAGTTGGCTAATATGATGCCACTATTTAAGGAATGTGATAAGGAGAAGCCAGGGAACTATAGACTGGTGAGCCTGACGTCGGTGGTGGGCAAATTGTTGGAGGGAATCCTGAGGGACAGGGTTTACATGTATTTGGAAACACAAGAACTGATTAGGCATAGTCAACATGGCTTTGTGCATGGGAAACCGTGTCTGACGAACTTGATTGAGTTTTTTGAAGAAGTGAAGAAGAAGATTGATGAGGGCAGAGCCGTGGATGTGATCTATATGGACTTCAGTAAGACGTTCGACAAGGCTCCTCATGGTAGACTGATTAGCAAAGTTAGATCACACGGAATAGAAAGAGAACTAGCTATTTGGATACAGAACTGGCACAAAGGTAGAGGACAGAGGGTGGTGGTGGAGGGTTGCTTTTCAGACAGGAGGCCTGTGACCAGCGGTGTGCCACAAGGATCTGTGCTGGGTCAATTGTTTCTCATCACTTATATAAATGATTTGTGTGTGAACATAGGAGGTATGGTTAGAAAGTTTGCAGATGACACCAAAATTAGAGGAGTAGTGGACAGCGAAGAAGGTTACCTCAGTACAACAGGATCTTGATCAGATGCGCTAATGGGCCAAGGAGTGGCAAATAGAGTTTAATTTAGATAAATTTTGAGGTGCTGCATTTTGGAAAGGCAAATCAGTGTAGGACTTATGCACTTAATGGTAAGGTCCTGGAGAGTGTTGCTGAACAAAGAGACCTTGGAATGCAGGTTCATAGTTCCTTGAAAGTGGAGTTACAGGTAGATAGGATAGTTAAGAAGGCATTTGGTATGCTTGCCTTTATTGGTCAGGGCATTGAGTATAGGAGTTGGGGGTCATGTTGCGTCTGTGCAGGACATTAGTCCACTTTTGGAATACTGCATGCAATTCTGGTCTCTTTGCTACAGAGAGAATGTTGTGAAACTTGAAAGAGTTCAGAAAAGATTTACAAGGATGTTGCCAGGGTTAGGCCCGAAACATCAGCCTTCCTGTTCCTCTGATGCTGCTTGGCCTGCTGTGTTCATCCAGCTCTACACCTTGTTATCTCTGTTGCCAGTGTTGGAGGGTTTGAGCTATAGGGAGAGGATTTTCCCTGGAGCATCGGAGGCTGAGGGATAACCGTATAGAGGTTTATAAAATCATGAGGGGCATGGATAGAGTAAATAGACAAAGTCTTTTCCCCAGGGAGCGGGAGTCCAAAACTAGAGGGCTTAGGTTTAAGGTGAGAGGGGAAATATTTAAAAGGGGCAACTTTTTCATGCCGTGAGTGGTGCGTGTATGAAATGAGCTGCCAAAAGAAGTGGTGGAGGCTGGTACAATTACAGCATTTTAAAATGCATCTGGACGGGTATATGAAAAGGAAGCATTTAAAGGGGTATATGGGTCAAATGCTGGGTAAATGGAGCTAGATTTATTTAGGCTGTCTGATGGGCATGGACGAGTTGGACCGAAGGGTCTGTTTCCGTGCGGTATATCTCTACGATTATGATGTTAGAGTTAAAATTAGGTTTATTTTCACGTGTCCACATGAATGCAGTGAAAAGTTTACAACGGCGCCATCTTGCGTGCAAGATACTTAGATACAAAATCAAATAAATTAGAATCATAAGGAAATAAAAAGTTCAGCATTACAGTCCTGCAAGCAGACCGCGCCAGGTCTCACCTCCAGACCATGCTGTTACCTTGACTCTGCAACCCGTCAAGTCCCCGCTATGAGCCGACTGCAGTCCCATTCTGAGCACAATGCCCTGCCACAGCCAGCGGTCCACCAGCACCGCGCCGTCCACCAACACCGCTCCGTCCACAACATCAGAAGGTGAAAGAAAAGATAAAGAAAAGGATGGAAAAGGAGAGAGAGAATATAAAGGATGCAACTGGCCTGCAATATATGGATTCAGGACCCCTAACAATGTTATCGCAGAGGCACTCTGTATGAATGTAGTTACGAACAAAGGAAGTTTTACTTGACATTTAACCTGACAATCCTCGGCATTGGTGTTGAAAATAAAGGTTTCATTATGCAGGCTTGTCACTCAGACTAAACAAAAACAATTAATCAAAGCTTGATGAAGTTGAACAATTTACCAAAGATCAATAAGTATAGCTGCACTGAAGCAATGAGTTAGATTCAAAACACAAAGAAAACTAAGGTCCCAGTTCAAGGGCTAAGTAGAATTTGCAAATAAATAGCAACTTTGAGACCTGGAACCTGCTTCACCATTCTGTTATGTCATGGTAGAATTGTACTCCACTTGTCTTTGTCGTCTCTTTAATATCCACACCTAACAAATCTATTGATTTCAGTTTTGGACATTCTGATTGACCCAGCAATCTCATTCGAACACTTCTACGTACTGCACTGAATTGTCAGTCTCGACCATCTGTTCAAGCCACTTGATTGGGTTTCAATCCATGACCCTTTTATTCAAGAGGTGAAATTGTTACCACTGCAAGAAGGCTAGCACCACTACACTACGTATTTTATTCTCTGCAATTGTTTAAAATTAGTGGTTGTGTTTATGCAAATGCTGATTCTGTGATGCTTTCCTCCATTTGTAGAACTGTAACCAAGAGACGTCTTATGATATTCTGGGGACAGATATCTGGGCAGTTAACACTTTTGAGAATGCAAGGTATGTGGCTTTTTTACATTTTATATCCAGTCCTCTCACCCCAACCTCCATTCCCTGCTGTTCTCAATGATTCACCAAAATTGCTTTATTCCGAATGGTAGATGAGCTTTCTTATTGAGAATGAATTTAGCTTTTCCTGTTCTGTCACTAGATTCACTATTTCCCATTCTGAACAATATGCAACTCATCTCCCAGAACAGGCATTAGCATGTGATGCTTTTTGTAGTTCAGAGATGTGTGATTGATCTCTTGGACTGTTCTGTGCACATCCAGATCAGACGTCCACATACAGTGGAAAGGCATTCGTATTTTAATAATGGTGATGCTTTACCTTCAGGTGGCGCTGAGCTTGAAACAGAGAGACTACAAGAAGTAAAAGCAGCAGAGGAAACTGAATATGTGAATCTATCTTTGTATCTCACACAGGGGTAATCATGACTGGAACATGGAAATTGTTGTGACTTCCGGAATTCTAAATTAAATAAAGTACTTAACCCTTGCAGTTTCAGTATCTCCAGGGAGCTCGGTGTTTTCTAGGTCAACCAGTTTTAAACATAACTTCAACTCACAAAAATAGAGTCCCCGATACTAATGAAATAATGTGACTTAGGTAACTTGAATAATGTGATATTGTACTGACATAATGCTCAGTTTTAATAAACTATGCAAACAATATTCTTACGGGTTTTGAATCCATAAAACCAACTCATTGATAAAGGACAGAGAAGAGACAACAAATCTTCTTCTATACCCAGGATATTACAATTGAAGAAGCACAATTCTATCTCCCTCTCGCTTGCTTTGTCCTCCATTGTCAACAGATTCTGTCCCATCCTGCTTGTGTGCAAATTGTGGCATCGGTGTACAACTGTCTGTTATTCTGATTTTGTCCTTCTTTATACTGAACATTTCCCAATAAACAATGGCTTTTACACATCTTTATCCATAACATCTGTGATCTGGTGCTGTTTGTTGTTAAAATTGCTGAAAGGCTTTGCCAAGTTTTGGACAAAAAGAAAAATGGCAGCTTTCATCTTCCAAGCCTGGGAGAGTTCTAGTGCAGTTCTTTCTGTCATAGCTATAACTACATGTTTGAAGAGCTGAACCTTCTAATGCTTTGTTTAAAAAAAAAATGAGTTGGTGCAAAAAGCTTTGAACATTTCACAATCAATTGCTTCCTTTCACATAGTAGACCCTTTTCAGAGTAGGGCAAAAGAAGCCTAACTTGAGAGCATGTCGCTCATTCTTTCAATTTGGTACTGAATGTGGGGTGAGAGCTGAGTGAAAGAAGCGAGAGAGGGCCATCTCTGGAAAAGTGCAGGTTACTAACCAAAAACATAAACAGATGGGGAGAAGGGAGTCTGTTTGGTATGTCTCTATTCCTCTGGAAAGCAGAGTGAATATGGAAATTTCCTGTTCAACCGAAGACAGACTTTTGTGGGCCTGTTCCTCTGGAAGCCAGAGATTAGTTTGAAGACTGCGTAATTGGCTGCAGCCCTGTTTCCCTGTGAGTTATAATGTGCGGGTTTTTTCTTACAGTGGACCAACATGGGATCTACAGCCTGAGAAATTAGATTTCACCAACTCGTTTCATCGAAAGCATTTACAAAACGCTTCCAAGTACCTCCCCCACATTGATCAAGAAGGGTAAGTATCAAATCTCCAAATGTCAAAGGGCATTTCTTGACATTTCTTCCTTTTTGGAGAACCTAATCCCCACAATTTCCTCTTGGATGCACTCAAAATGAACACATTGTTTTCTTGAGACTGAGAGAAGGGAAAGCAGTCTGTGGAGGAGCATTCTCTTTGTTCTTCAGAATTCTGCATGAACCATTTTAGATAGGAAACCCCATTGTATGAGAAGTTGCATCCTGTTCTCCAGTATTATATGTACCCAGGATGTGAACATTATTGACAAGCTTGACATTTGTTGGCCATCCGGGCTTGCCCTCTGAAGATGGCGGTGAAGCTTCTTTTTGCTTAATAGTGTGATAAGACTGACTTGTTTGGCCAATTCAGAGAGTAGTTAAAAATCAACCACATCTATTGCCCACAGAAAACATTCTTTACTGGTGTGTATAGTTTCATGGAAATGATTTCTGCTTCACATGGACACCAATGTTTTTTTTCTTCATTTACATATTCTATGCTGGGACCCTCTAATATGATTTCACTATGTTTTTGGCATTGATATTCAGTGTTTTGTCAGGTGGAGTACAGGCCAAATGCAAAGTTTAACTTTCTCTAACCTTCCCCACATAGTGACCTTTGATACATCAGTGATCACATCCCTCAGCGTCTGCCAGTCTGAGATCAGTGCCACATTATCATGAGCGGTTTTGTGGTGAAGATCCACATAACAGAAGCAGCAGTGTTCAAATTGTTTAGGATACATGGAGTTATGTTCGCTGGCTGGGGACAAGATTTGAATCAAGATTTCTTGGATGAATGGACAGTTAATCGCTATGATCTGTGATTATTTACTGTTTCATCCAGCCTCCTACATTTGATTGTATTTTCATTCTTTAACCTAACCCAAATGCTACTGGATCGCAATTGCATTATTTGCTGACAAACCTTTTCTAAAGTGTAGTGCCCAAAGTTGACGAAAAGCTCCAGTTGAGGCTAATCCAGTGTTCTGTGTAAGTTTAACATAACATCCTTGCTTTTATGTTGTCTGTCTCAGTTAATGTAGCCTAGGATGCTGTATGTTTAATTTAAGTATGCTGTCAACCAGTCTTGTCAGTTTCAATGATTTATGCACATTCATATTCAGGTCCCTCTGCTGTTGTACACCTTGGAATTGTACCCTTGCTTTTAGACCACGTTTCTATGTTCTTCCCATCAAAGTTAATCTTTTCACAATACACTGATTAAATTTTATTTGGTAATAGTCTGCCCATTTCACCAATTTGATTGTGTCCTTTTGAAATTCTACACATTTCTCCCTACAGGTACAATACTTCGAAATTTCATATCAACTGAACATTTTGAATTGTGCCCTTTACAACAAGGTCTTGGTGCAAATGTATATCATGAAGAGGAAGGCTCTCAAAACTGATTGTTGGGAAACTCTACTACAAACCTTCCTCCAGCTGGAAAATACCCATTAACCACAACTGTCTCCTTGACTCAGATAATTTTGTAACTATGTTACTACTGTCCCTTTTATGCTGACAAGACTGTTGTGTGGCACTGTATCAAATGCCTTTGGAAATTCATTATACCACAGCCAAAAATATTACCATTATCGATTCTCCCTACTTATATCTTCAAAAATCTCAAGCAAGGTAGTTATACATGATTTGTCCATAACAAATGAGAAGAATCATACAATACTATACAGTATTTATTAGAATACAACGCAGTAATAGGCCGTTCGGCTCACCAAGCCTGCACCAATCTCTAATCCTTATTTAGACCCACGACTTATTGCCCATACACTGTTTCTGTCCCTCTGTTTGCCTCATGTTCATGGGTCTGTCAAGAAATGCTTCAAAATGTTGCTAACATGCCTGCTTCCACCACCTCCACCGGCAGTGCGTTCCAGGCACCCACTACCCTCTGTGTGAAAAAGTTTCTCCCCTAACTTTCTCCCTCTCACCTTGAACCCGTGCCCTCTTGTAGTTTGCCTTTCCACCTGGGAAAAAACCTCTGACTATTCCCCCTATCTATGCCTCTCATAATTTTGTACACCTCTATCAGGTCTCTCCTCAGCCTCTGCCTTTCCAGTGAAAACAATCCAAATTTATTTGACCTCACCTCATAATTAAAACCCTCCAGACCAAGCAACATCCTGGTAAACCTTCTTTGTACCCTCTCCAAAGCATCCACGTCCTTCTGGTAGTGTGGCGACCAGAACTGCATGCAATATTCCAAATGTGGCCGAACTAAAGTTTTACACAGCTATAACATAGCTTACCAACTTTTGTATTCGATGCCCTGGCTGATGAAGGCAAGCATGCTGTATGCTTCCTGACCACCTTATCCACCTGTATTGCCACTTTCAGGGATCTGTGGACCTGTACGCCCAGATCCCTCTGTATGTCAATGCTCCTAAGGGTTCTGCCATTTATTGCATAATTCGCACCTGAATTTGATCTTCCAAAATGCATCACCTCACAATTGTCCGGATTAAACTCCTTCTGCCATTTCCCAGCCCAAATCTGCAATCTATCTATGACCCGCTCTATCCTTTGACAATCCCTTTCACTACCTGCATTTCCGCCAACTTTGGTATCATCCATAAATTTACTAATCGGACTATCTACATTTCCTTCAGATCATTTATATATAGTACAATCAATAAAGGCTCCAGCACTGACCCTTGTGGAACACACTAGTCACTGATCTCCACTCCAAAAAGCACCCTTCCACCACTACTATGTCTTCTATGACTAACCCAGTTTTGTAGCCATCTAGCTAGCTCTCCCAGGATCCCATGACACTCTACCTTCTGTACCAGTCTGCCTTGAGGTACCTTATCAAATGCCTTACTAAAGTCCATGTGGACAGCATCCATTGCCCTTCCGTCATAATAATTTTTGTCACCTCCCCATAAAATTCAATCAAGTTGGTGAGCCATGACCTTCCCTGCACAAACCCATGCTGCCTATCACTAAAAAGTCCATTCACTTCCAAATACGAATAAATCCTGTCTGTCAGTATCTTCTCCAACAGCATCCCCACCACTGACATCAGGCTCACCAAACTGTAATTACCTGGATTGTCTGTTTCCCTTCTTAAACAAAGAAACAACATTGGTCGTTCTCCAGTCCTCTGGAACCTTGCCTGAGGGCAAAGAGGATGCAAAGATATTTGTCAAGGCCCTGGCTGTTTCTTTCCTTGCCTCCCCCAGTATCCTGGGACAGATCCTGTATGGCCCGGGATCTTGTCGACCTCAATATATTTCAAGACACCTGACACTTCCTCCTTCCTTATATTGACCTGCCCAAGAGTACTCACACACTTTTCCCTCACGACAACATCCCTCATATCCCTGTCTTTGGTGAATACTGATGTAAAGTACTCTTTAAGGATCTCACCCATTTCCTCTTGCCCCACACATATTCTCCCTCTTTTATCCTTGAGTGGGACTACTCTTTCTCTAGCTACCCTCTTGCTCCTAATATGTATAAAATGCCTTGGGATTCTCCATAACTCTGCTGGCCAAAGACCAGCCCTTCTAGCCCTTCTGACTCCTTGCTTGAGCTCCTTCCCACATTCTCTTTATTCTTCAAGACTTCAACTGTTTCTGGTTGCTCAGACCTTAGGTATGCTTCCTTTTATTTTTCGACTAAGCTGATAATTTCCCCTGTCATCCAAGATTCCTGAATCCTACCATTCCTGTCCTTGATTTTCACCGGAAATGCCTGTCCTGCACGCTAATCACTGGTCCTTAAAAGACTGCTACATGTCAGATGTGAATTTACTGTCAAACAGCCGCTCCCAATCCACATTCTCCAATTCGTGTCTAATTCAGTTATAGTTAACCTTCCCCCAATTTAACACCTTCATCTGAGGTCCAATCTTGTCCTTACCCATAAGTATCCGAAAACCTACAGAATCATGGTCACTATTCCCAAAATGCCTTAATGAATCTTTGATCACCTGGCCTGGCTCATTTCCCAATACCAGGTTCAATATGGCCTCCTCCCTCGTTGGACTATCCCCATACTGTTTCAACATCCCTCCTGGACACACCTAACAAATTGCTCCCCATCCAAATCCCCAGCACTAAGAAAGTCCCTGTCAATGTGGCAGAATTTAAAATCACCCACCACAACATCCCTGTTATTTTCACATCTTTCCAGAACTTGACTACATATCACTTCTTCTATCTCCCTCGGGCAGCTGGGAGGTCTGTAGTACAGTCCCAGCATTGTGATTGCACCCTTCCTGTTCCTGAGCTCTACCCATAATGCCTCACTCCAAGATCCCCTCCAGGGTGTCCTCTTTTGACACAGCTGTGGTATGCTCCCTCACCAGGAATGCAACGTCGTCACCTCTTTTGCTTCCTCTCTCTCTTGTCTAAGTCAACTATTTGCCAGAATGTTAAACTGCCAATCCTGTCTCTTTCAATCATGTGTCTGTGATAGCAACAAAATCACAACTGCATGCATTAATACAAGCTCTAAGTTCATCTGTTTTACCTGTTACAGTTCTTGCATTGAAGCAAATGCAGTCGAAGCCTCCAATTTCACTGAGTTCAGCAACCTCTCCCTGATTGCTGTTTCTCTTAGCTATATTTGGCTTAGACTCAAGTTCTTCCCAAGTCTCTATACTCATTGACTTGATGCTCTGGTTTCCAGCCACCTGCCACACTAGTTGAAACCCTCCCAAGTGGCACTACAGAACCTCCCTGCCAGGATATTGGTGTTTGTGTAGTTTTGGTGCAACCGGTCCTTCTTGTATAGGTCCCATCTTCCCTAGAAGACAGCCCAATGATCCACATTATCTGAAGCTACACCAGCTGTTTAGCCACAAGTACAAGTGTACTGTGTCTCTCTAGTCTCAGTGGCACATGAGTACGGGGAGCAATCCTGAGGTTACTACCTTAGATGTCCTGCTTTTTAGTTTACTACCTAACTCCCTGAATAGCAAGACCTTGTCATTTTTTCTACTTATGTCACTTGTTATGTCACAGG